GAAAATGCTAATGCTTTAAGTTTGGACAGGAAAAATTCAGTTAAAGAAATACGTTTATAGTGCATAGGCAAAAATAATTCAGCTTTGCCCTTCCAACAAAAAGACCCCATTCAGTGTTTTTTACACTATTCAAGGAAAACTTGCCAGAAGGTGACATTTCTGCAGATGCTTTTCAGAAATGAACTGGAGTTTACGTAAGTATACACACAGCAGAATTTTGGATGCTGATGCACAGATGCATATAAATTTGTAAAAACATCATAGAATTTTTTGACTGGTTACACAGCTTGGACTGTCTGATTCTCCACTAAAACATCAGTGTACAACTACTGAAACCATTTCAGACACTGAAGAACCAGAACTTGACTCCATGTGGAAACTCACAGTGCAAGGGGTCACTTGAGCCCCTCTTTTACACTGATGTCTCATTTTGCTACAAAATTACTTCACCAGGACTATTTTGTAGGTTTGAGACTGCAATGGACACTACACCATATCTCTGTTCCAAGACATTACTGGTAAAAAAGAAAAATTTTAATTTTCTTTATCATAGAACAGCTTGGGTTAGAATAAGCCTTAAACATCATCTAGTTCCAGCTCTCCTGTAACAGGGAGGGACATCTTCCATTACAGCAGGTTGCTCAAAGACCCATCCAACCAGCCTTGAAAGCACTTGCAATGAAGGGCACCCAGAACTTCTCTGGGAAACCCATTCTTGTGCATCACCATCCTTATACTGAAAAATTTCTTCCTTACATCTGATGTAGACCTGTCCAACTTTAAAGTCATTACCCCTTGTCCTGAAAAAAGGTTCAGCATTTCTTGTTTAGTTGCACTATTCCTACTTACTACCTTAACCAAAACCCCCAATTTATTGTATCACTTTAATTAGCATAATGAAATTTGGATTAAAAGTGTTAAGAATTGAGGCACTAACAGGAAGACTTATCCTTATCTCTTGCAGTACCATTAAACCAAAAGAGTTAAGAGTATTGCTATTACAACATGGAGACTGAGGTTGTGCTTCCACAGTCTGCACTTGTGCTTATGCTCCAGGGTACCACAATCTCACTTCTGCCAACACCCATTTTTGGGACCAGTAACTTGCATATACAGGATCACCTAGATTCAAATTAGTTTCCTTAAGTCCCTTCCAGGCTCTACTTCTATGTCTTCCTGGCTTACTGAACTGATAGTGAAGAACAACATGCAGTGCTAGCACAAGGGTGACATCCATACCCTGCTGCAGGAGACTGAGGGGCTGGCAAGGCCTTCAACTTCTTTACTGCCAAATCCCTGTTACAGTGGATGTTTAGCTTAAATTCTTAGCAGTAAAAAAACTATATGGAGAAGTTGAAAGCACTTCAGTATCAGGGACTTTGTCAGAAGGTAATACTAACTTTCTAATCAAATACTTGACAATAGCCGTTTCTCTCCCTGAAAGGCATTAGTTTTCAATTGTACAAGTCAAAAATACAGTCCACTGACTCTTCCATACTTAAGAAATCTATATAACCTGAAAGCTTCTCTAGTTAAATGCAAGGAGGGAAAAGAATGTATAAACGATTCTCAAAGTTTTAGTAGCAATTTCCAAGGATGAAGAAAACAAGGACAATTAATTGCTTTCCAATTTCTGAATCACTGCTTAAAAAACTAACCTACTTTAGCTCACTTTTATCCAACATGTAACTGAAATTTCATAGAAGTTTTCAAAGAAAGACATGTTTAAACAGTTTTTTTTAAAGTTTAGTCTAATTTTAATCCCTGAGTTTCAGCCATGGAAAACACTTCCGCTTCTTTATTTCTTAAATTCTGTTCATCTGTTTCTATTTACTGGGTTTTGAACCAACAAATATTACAGGATTGCATGTTTTTTGTATCTTATTGCTCCTCCTAAGAATGCTCTTAATAAATTTACTTAACGCTCCCCTTGAAACCAGCATAATTATTTCCTCAAATAATGTATAAACAGGGCAAATTATTGCCCCATTACAGAGTGCCTTCATATCTAAGCACACCCTCCTACCCAAAAAGTTTGTATTGCTATAATCAAGAGCACATGGGTTAAAACTCTCAACTTGGACTTCTTTTGTTGTGCTTTATTTAGAGCTGAAGAATAGAACTGTATCTGTTTTAAATAACATCATTCTGTGATCCACATATGCACTCCCAATCAAGTCATCACAAGGCCTGTATAGTGCGTTTGGAATAATTTGGGATTATTTTTGCTGATACATTTCTGTCGTCCTCTTGTTAGAAACAAACATGGGATGTTTCTGGATCTGAATTCACAAAAATATTCTTTAATCTTGTGCATGCAACCACTTGCTCCCAACTTAACTCTTCTGCCATTCCTAGTCAGGAGCATGGACTACTCTCCCATTTCCCCAGTACACATAAACTTAGGGGTAAGAAGATTAGGAAGAAGGAACTGTGCGTGGCCAATGAAGGAGAAGTGTTCACAGACAGGCTGGAGCATTATACTCACCTGGGGAATGAATGGCTGGGCTGTTCCTGTCTTGGAGAAGATACCTACCTTAACCTGTCTGTAGGTGGTGAAGATGCTTGAGGCAAGAAAGCGCCTGGGGCAGTCAGTGCCCCTCTCTGTGGGATGCCCGCTCCTGCCTCTTGCTTAGTGTGAGGGATACTTACCCATCAGGGATAGTATTCTTCTTTACCATGCTGAAAGCAGGAGCAGGCAGAGCAGGAGGCAGCGGTGAAAGTGGGCACTGCAGCAAAGGAGAGAGAACCGCGCAGTTAACACGGTGCTAATCTCTTTCTCCATCAGTGGGCCTTTGCATAGGGCTGAGTCTCAAATAAAACAAACCAAGCAGCCAGCTGGGGCTTGAAGCCGTCCTGAACAAGGTCTGCACCTCTGCAAGCTAGCCTATTTCTGCACTGCTACAGTAGCACGACAAGAGGGAAAGACAACTCACCTCTCCTCTCCAGGTGATCACAAGAAAGAGAGAGGAGAGGCGGCAGGTTTCTCTGTAACTCTGGCAGCAGCGCTGCAGGCACGAAGATCTTCCTGGCAGTCCCTTCTGTCCCACTCCTGCGGCTCGGAGCCGGCTATTCCGCCCTTGCGCTCCCAGTTAGAACCCGTCTCAACGAGCAGAACCTCCACGCAGCTGCAAGAGGCGAGGCAGGCACCTCAGCAATGAAGAACCATCACCTGCTCCCCCCTAACCTAGACGGGTCCGATCCCGCTGGACGCCGGTCGCCCGCCGACCCTGGGGGGCCCGGGCTGGGGAAGGCGAGGGGAGCGGCCCCCATGGCCCCGCTCCACGGATGACGCTGCTGAGGCTGCCCCTCACAGCCGCGTGTCCCCGGGGCAGCACCGGCTGCGGGGCCGGCCCAGGGCTCGACAGCGGCTGCGCTCGGGGCAGGCACAGACAAGAGACCGGGGCGGGGGAAGGTCGCGGCCCTGCTGCGGGGGGCGGGCAGGCGGCTGTGGAGGGAGGCGGGCAGGCTGTGAGGGGAAGGGCGCGGGCTGCAGACGGTGAGAGGGAAGAGCCCGTGCGGCGGTGGGGCGGGGCGGAGAGGAGCGGGGCTGCGGGCGGCCCGTACCCGGACAGGATTTCCCTGGCGGAGGAAGGAAAGGCTGGCGCGACACAGAACCTTCCCGAAAAGGCCGCGACTGCGCCTGCGCGGCGGCGGCGGGGCGGGGCGCGGCCAATGGCGCGAGGGGCGGTGGCGGCTGCGCGCGTGCGCGGGGCGGGGCCGGGCGCCGGGAGAGCCGCAGCCTCGGGGAGGCTGTGAGGGCTCGTCCTGCGGCTGGGTGCTTCGGAATAGAGCGGTGGTCAAGGATGTGCCATCGATGCCGATTTAAAAACCAGCTAATCATCTGTCTCACAGGCTTCAACCGTTTATTTTTGTTTTGAAAGTTCTTGAAGTTTGTTACTGCTGTGTACACCTGCACACCGCTCTGAGCTGGTGTCTGTGGGAGGCGGCCGGGATGGTTGTCAGTACTAGAAGCACGTTCCGAAAAGTTAAGCCATGATTTACAGGGAAGCAGGTGTTGTAATGTTGGTCGTCAGAATTTGTTCGTTAATACGTTTTTATTTCTGCTTGATACGGTATCCTTTAACACGGCTCATGGAGCAAGAACATTTTGACTGTGTTTTTCTTTGCTCTGTGGTATCTTTTTTCCTCAAAGTCTTCCTTCAGTCTTGAGTAAGTGCTTTGGGGCAGCAATTTTTAGGTGCCTCATGTATGGAACTTACAGATCCCCTTTCCATATACTGCTTGTGATGCATTCCATATTGGATGAGTCCTCTTGGTGCTCAGTGCAAACTAATAGATCATACCTTTTCATTTTTGCGTATTTCGTTTAGTATTTAACAATTTTTATTTCCTGCATAATTACTAAACATCAGCACTTATATTTTTAATTGAATCATTCATTGAAATTCATTTTAATCTGAGTCTTCGGGATGTCAGTAGAAATTGAAAAGGACAAGAGACAACGTTTTGTTAATAATGCTGGTATAGATCAGTAATAACTCTTGTTTTTGAATGTGTGGATTTGCATTATTGTAGGTGAGAGCGGAGTCCTTTTTGAAAAGGGAAAACTTGCATCAAGTGATTTGGCTTTGACTTGTTACAAATAAATATTTGTGCATTTTTGAGGGATGCTTGTAGGCAGTTTGATTATATTGTTAGATTAAGGGAAGATGAAGTAATCATGGCTGAGCCGTGCCTGTAAACCAAAGATCTTGGAAAGGTGACCTTGACTTTCAAGAAAATGTTAAAACAGCCCACTGAACATCTGAGTTCTGTGTTCAGCAGTACAGTGTGACACTACCCAATACTTCTGATGCAGCAAGTGTTAAATATTGGTTTGAATGTGGTAGGTTCTTTAAAGCATTTCCCCGAAATCGCTTTGCTCTGATTTTTGGAAGCACGCAGTAACATCCAGAAGCAATACAGATTAAATAAAGTCATTATTTTCATTTCCTGGGCGCCAGCGCCGCTCCGGCCGCAGCCCTGCCCGCCGCCGCCAGGGGGCGCCGGGCCCGCCCGTGGGGGAGCGAGCGCCGCGCCTAAAGCCGCGCCTAAAGCCGCGCCTAAAGCCGCGCCTGTGAGAGCGGGACACGCTGGGCCAGCAGTTAGCGTGTAGGGAAAAAATACGTGGGGTTTGTGCTCCACTGGATGTTTGTCGTGATTTGTTCTCCACAGCTTGCTGGAGACGCCGAGGATGTTGGTAGACGACAAATGGAATGGCTTGTAAATCAGAACCTGCAGGAAGGTAGTACAATAAAAATACTTATTTACATATTTTCCTGCTATTGTGCAGCAAAACTTAACAAGTCAGTTAGGAATGTATTAATTTTATTTTTATGTGCTTATACTGAATAGTCCCATTAAACTTGGTGACATTTCTCATGGTTTAAAGTAGAAGTTTCTGAATTTAGTTTTCTTGTTCTCTCAGCAGCAGTACTAGTAACTGCAGATGATCTGGATGCGCCCAAACCTCTGTAAATACTTTCACTGCCCTAAATGAGGAATCCGTGCTGCTGTCTCGGCCATCCCCATCACCTCAGCCTCAACTTTGCCCCTACCTGAACAATGTCGCTACAGCAGTATGCAAAATACAGACTATCTAAAGTTTAAAGAGTATTTAAAGACAGTATCATTTACTTGTTCTGCAGATGCATTGTATTGTCTTTATTGGAGATTGAATAGTGCCTAGACAGACCTGTAATCTGACCCATTACTTTTTTTTTTTTTTTTTTTTTTTTTTTTTGCATCCTCTCTGCTGTTTACACTGTGTCATAAAACAAATGGCACTGCTATTAACTGGAAAATCTGGTCTAGCATGCATGATGTGCATTTAGAGTGACAGTTCTGTACCTTGATCTAGACTTAATGGTACCACTCTGAATGGAGCATCTGGTACAAGAAGTCTTCCTTAGGACATGTAAGTATTTGTTTTACTGAGATCTGTAAGGAAACTTGTATATGTATTTAGTTGTATTATTAAACATATTATGAGAAGAAAATAAGTATACAAATGGTTGCTCACTTGTATAGAGTTAGTAGTTGGAGGAAGTTCTGAAACTTTCTAAGACAACCTATGGCCTGGTCCTGCTGGAGCTGCCTGTAACCCCATTTAAGTTTCTCCAAGTGTATGTTCACAAACAACCTCTCTTCACAATCCCCTGCTCTTGGAGCAAGTCCAGGATGACAGTGCCTGCTACAGCAACTGTGCCTTTTTTACCCAGGTCAGGTTAGGCACATCTGCCTGCCAGGTACTAAATTCAGTCTTCTGCAATTTTCAGTTGACTTTCTTCCCCTCTGCTCAGACATTCTTCATTCATCTTGTGGTGCTTTGTTTCTGTTTTCTGACTAAATCTCTTCCTCTTGTTTCTTTAGTTCCTTGGATTGTAAACCACACGCTGGAACACAAATAAACTGGAAATTCTACAAGTCTTTTATAAAAATATTTTTAAATTGTAAGCATGTCTTCAGCACATCACTATCTTCCTTAGTTTTTAAAGTGCTATCTGATCAATATCAGATATTCATCAGATACTTAGCAATTGGGTACCAAATTGATCTTAATCCTAAAATACAGTTATCTAATTTACTTGCACTTTGAATATCTCTGCTTTGCATGGTCCTGATATAATAAGGTTCAGAGAAATACTATTGCTTGTAGGAGGGTTGACACCAACCCTCAAGAACTGAAAACATAAGAGATTGTATCAATGACTGAATGACAGAATATGATGATTCAGCTGATATAAATCTTACTTTAAAAATCATTTAAATTACAAACCTAGTTGATAAATTTAATTAAATGTTTTTAAGACTGCTAATCTTAGTATCAGATAATAGTTCAGAAAGAATTGGCATATATAGTATTAGCAATCATATATTAAACATATGAAAATTTGGATAAAGAAATTAGACCTTAATATAACTGCCACCAGATGGGATAAATTGTTATCGCACAGAAGCACTTTCTGTGAAATCAGTAGTATGTCTGAATCATATAATCACAGAGTCATAGAATGGTTTGGGTTTGAAGGGACCTTAAAGATCATGTAGTTCCAAAGCCGCTGCATGGACAGGGACACCTTCCACTAGATCACGTTATTCAGAGTTCCATCTAACCTGGCCTTGAACACTTCCAGGATCGGGGAATCCACAGCTCATTATTTTTAATAATCTGAAATTTGAGTACTTTTCTTCCCACTTATCTGAAATTGATCTAAAATAATTGCTGAGAAAAATCTGCTGCTGGAAGGAGGTACTCATACATAATGGTGCAGATCTCTTCATGACTCAGTCATGAAAATTTACATTTGTAGCCATTAAAAAGTCATTGTTACTTAAAAAATAGGGGGTAGTATAACTGTTCTTCATAGTCACTTTGACAATAATTTAGATGTCAAGTAACTAATGCCTGAATAAAAGCAGCTAATGCTTTTGTAGGTACATCTTTTTGCTCTTTTGTACTGAAATGGCAATGGCTGAGTGGCACTTCATTAACTGATGAAGTGTTACTGGAACAACCATAGGGAAGGTTGTGAGGTGCTCAGGTGGTTTTAAAATTACACCAGTCAAGGTGGGCCAGTTTACTTTTTTTACAATTTGTAAAATAATTTGAAGTGAAAGTAGCATGCTTTGTACTAAAAGTGCCCAAGTTCCCTGACTGTACCCTTTCTGTGGTAAGTTCTGTTACAGCTACAGTAAGTGACAGCTCAAAAAAACCAGATGAGGTCTGGGCTGAGTTCTGAACACCATGTCCTTATCCTGAAAGGAGACAGCAAGGAATATGATATTTCCTCACCAAAAAGAATCCTCTTTGAACTCTGATCTGACAGGCTGTCAATATTGACCTCTAACTGTTTTGTCAAGTATTTGTTTGTGGAGCATGTTTATGGAAGTTTTTAGAGAATTAATTTTTTTCTCCTCCATTAACTGTAAATTCAAGAAAGCATCCTCCTTCAGGGAAATACAAGCTCATCAGCAATTCAGATGTCAGAATGCAGGTGGAGTTGCTATGGCTGTGAGGGAGCAAAATGTAAATTTTGTTCGAAAACCACATAGTTTCTATGGTCCATTAAAATCAAGTGGAAGTTTCACTTTATTTGGAGGGGCAGAGAGGATGACTTTTCAAATATATAAAATATGTATATATATATACACACACAATCTTATTGAATGGCTTTTTCTATTCTGTCAACAAATTTTGATTTAGATGTACCTTTCTTTCAAGATGAAGAAGAAACAACATGCTCTGATGTCAGGCAAAGTTATGCATGCTTTATCACAGGCACCTGATGGAGGAAGTGCTTTCCTGTAGCTCCTGTTTCACAGCTGATAAATTATTCTTGATGCAGGTGGTAATGGATTGCATATTTTTAAGTTTTATCAGCGTTCTCATCTGTTAGAATTTCATGTTCAGATCTGTGGGAACTGTTTGTGACTTGGGTTAGGGTTTCTTAGTGCTTCCTAGTTGATTTTTTTAAATAGCTAAAATGTTAAACCAGATAACTTGATTAATCTGTCAGAATTTGAAATGTGTTCTAAAAATTGCCTACATTATAAGAAATTTCTGTTGCCATAAATATTTGTTCCTTTAAATGTTCTGCAATTAATGATAGATGGTTTTATCATATTGTGCCAAGAAATATCAATGCAGAAATAACTACTGAAATTTGATGGCTCAGTCACAGACAGATTTATCAAATGGGCTAAAGCAGTTGAGTTTGATCCCAAATGTGCTAAGTATTCATGTATGAGGGTATTCTTATACGATGGAATTGATTATGGTAATGTTTAGCAGATTTGATAGTCCCTCTTTACATGTTTTTTTAGAAGGAAATACATATTGTCTGTACTGTATTAGGTGACAGGGTAATTGTAGATACTCTTAATATTTTTCATGCACGTTCTTTGGCTTCAAGATTGCAAATAACAGGGACCAAGTTAAGGCTCGTTATGTTTTTAAAAAGTCCAGTAGATAAAAGCAAAGCATGGGAACAAACTGAAGTAGTTATCACAGTTATTTAAAACCCCAAAGCAGGACTGTTGCCTGAGATTAGGTCTCATACCAGAACAGACACACAGAGGAAGTTGTATCTTCTGCTGCATTTGCAGAAAGGTCACTTGTGTGCCTGGGATAAAGGTCTGTCCTCTCCAGGACACCCAGATGTCCTGTGAGCACTCAGTAGCTCTGGGATGTTCTGAACACAGTGGGTTTATTGCATGAGCTCAGATTAACCCTGGAGAGCTCAGGCCTCCGTTCTGATGTGTGAGGGCTGTGCTGGATTTATGTGTGTCCTGTGCAGCTCACCTGCTTGTGCTCCCTGTGTCTGATGCATCTCGTGACTAACAGGTTATTATCGGTAATATCTGCTAATCCAGTGAAAAGAGAAAAAACAAATGAAATTATTTTGTAAGAAACATCTTTAATTGCAACACTGCTTCTTAGAAAAGGACATTTTAAAAATTTTTGTAATGCAGAAAAATATTTATGTACAATTTAAAGTAAAAGTACACATATTTTTCTACTTTTCCAAAATTCACTTCAGAAAAAAAAGTGTGAATTTGTTTTCAATTAAAAGAGATTGCAATTAGACCTGATAAATAATTTTGGCTCAGATAAGCCATGTACTAGCATATACTTATGCTACTGGTGCTAGTCAGAATGAAGTCTTGAAGAAGTTTGTGTAATGTCTGTAAAGGTTAATTAAGAAAAAAGTTATTTTGCAATTGAGGCAATTTGTAAAACCCTCCAGCTGTGCCCTTACATTCTTTCACAGTATGCAGGATCCAGGGAACAAACCATTCCAAAATACTTTTGAGCAGCTGCAAGAAGAATTTAACTTTGTTACTGAAGAAGCTATTAAAAAATGTAAATGCTTCCAGCTGTTGCAGTAGTAAAACTTCTGTTTATAGGGAGATACAACATACAGTATTCCAGGAATTTGGTGTTTCAGATACAGTCTGCGTTTTAAACTTATATTTGATAAGTGGTGTTACATTTATTCTGTGACTATTTTTAATATTTTCTGAACCAATCTTTTCTGTTCTTTTATATGTTTATGTAGCAGAGAATTTTGTTCACTATCAACCTAAATGCCAAGTTAGATCTATTGATACTTTCAACACATTTGGATTTACTGTAATTAGAAGCATATTAGATGTATTAGTTAACAGTACCAATTATATGATAAAAATCCAGTAAGAATTTTATTATAGCTTGCAAAATTTTACGTATAGGTATTAGATACATAGTCAGATGCTATGGTCCTTTGAACAAAATTCACAATTTTTCTCTCAAATGTTTACAAAGTGAAGCTCTGGGTAAAAACTTTGAAATGTAATTGAAACCCAACATTTTGATTAGATACTGCATCTAGCATGCTGAATTTTGTAGACTGCAATACTTCACATTCTTGATTGATGGGATTGTATATTCTATGAAACTTTGTGAACCCTCAGACATAAATTGAGCTGCCTCAATTTATCATGAGATGGAGCTCTGAGGCAGAGCAAGAGTCAGCAAAGGCAGTGGCACTACAGCAGTATGGACATTATTCCTTTCTAATGTTTTTGGTTTGGGAAAAATTCTGGGTTCTCTAAAGTGTGAACTCTTCAGCTACATTTAGAAATTTAAAAAGGAACCTGACATCCTGTGAAATACTTTTGTTGTTGAAATGCTCAAATTTTTTTTTTCAAGAAGCCAACTGATATGAACTTCTATCTTTTCCTTCATTAAAAAGTCTTATAGCTCCTCTTTCAATTAGTTGTTTCAAAAATTGGATATCATGAGGAAATATCTATCACACCCCTAGAAGAGCTGTCCTAATACATAGATATCACAATGCTTTATTTCTATCACGTACTCCAGTTTAAATTTATCACGAGTCAACTTCCTGGATTCTTTTGTGGTGTGCCCATATCTGCTGGTTCAGGATCCCATACTAGATACAATCTTCTTGAGCAGAGCTATAAGCTGTTGGTGGCACTCTGTGTTTATGAAGTTAAATTGACTTTCTTCACTCTGTCTCTAGAATGCAAGTTTTCTTGTAAATGTTTCTTGCTACTCTTTCTGAAGCTTTCCCATTCATTGAACTAATAATTTAGGGATTATTTTTTCGGTAATAAATACTTCCATAGTGCTCTATCTTTATGGCAAGATTAGCTATGAAATTAATGGGTTTTAAACTCTTTCATGCAAAGGATGGGTATATTCTGAGAGCTACTAGTTTTTGACGTAGAGGTCCATTTTTATGGAGATTTTTTATAGTTTCCTGCCAATGTTTATGCTTTTCTTGATAGTTGCAGATGAGGCCAGAAAAAATGGTGTGGGTTTCCAAATCATGCAGAGAACATAAATGGGAATAAAAACTGTGATGACTGATACAAACAATAGACTGATAGTTTGAGGTATCTATTATCCCAATTTTCAAACCCTTTGTAGCATGG